AAAACTACAAAAAATCCGCAATGCAAGTTCAGAGCATATCAAAGTTCCAAAGCTCTTAGGATATGTCAAAAACGCTCTCAATGACGATATTATCGGATATGTCCAGGAATTGCCTCCGGGTAATAGATTCGGGTATAGTCTCGGTTATATTAAAATCGCTGAAGTACTTCGAGAAACAAGGGAGAAATGGGCGGCGCAAATTTGTCAAACGATAGACGCATTACATAAAATCGGGGTTTTTTGTTTTGACCTGAATCGCTACGATTTTGAGCTCGACAATCAAGATAACCTTTGGTTAACGCAAATTCAACGTTACAGTCGTGCCGAACAGGCTCTTGAGGATCTGACATCTGTGATGGCGCGGGACAAGCTTGCTGTAAAAAAGATTTTGAAATATTTGGAAGTTGAGTAGAGCTTCAATAAGGTACTAGACCGCAATAATATAGACTTTAAAAACCTGTATGGCAAGGGGCGTATTTTCTATTTTTAAAATTTTATTGTTTTACATATTGCTACCATCCTGTAGAGCTCACAATTGATGCAATTGCATAATTATTTCATATCTATATCTATATCGATATCTCGTAAGAGGCAAAAGCGTGATAATAGCTGACTTTATCAAAAGCCTACGATAAATCGCTGAATATACGTGTTACTATCAACATAAAATATACCTGGGCGCTCTCCAGAGCCCCTTATTAAATAGTTACTTCCCTGAGGATTTATATTACTACGCTACTTTAAAATAGCTCCCACCATGCATAGCGACTGTTAAGTTTCTTGACCCCAAGCCGGATAAGATGCATTGGTGCCTGCCCCACAAGGGTAGTCAACAAGATATTGTGATTGAGTCTGAGTCAGAACATATCCATATCCGTCATCATCCTGTATCGATACACCACAACTCCCAGTACCATAAGTAGGACTACCATTTGCACAGAAGACTCTGAATGGCGTATAGGTTCCGGCGATTAGAGGGAGACGGAGCGTACTAGAATTAGAGATCCCGTATCCCCCTATGACATCGCAATTCGATCGAAGATACCCTGAGTAAGCCTTTGCCCCAGTCCACGCAATCGCGAGGCCAGGTGAGGAGACCGAAAGCGTGTATTGGGTGGACTTTGGCGCGAAAAAGTAGGCGCGCCACATATAAACTATCTGTGAGTTTGGGGGATATAAAGCGTAAGCGCCACCTAGACCCCATTGCGTCGTATCCAAACCCATCGCTCTGTTTGTAGCAGTTTGTGGGGGTGTCTGATTCTTGAATGACTCTGGTAGTAAAGAGGAGAGGTTGGCAGTCATGTATGGATTCTGCCAGTAAGCAACCTCGTCGTACGCATTGTTACAGGAGGTATCGGGTAGAGCAGCAACTGAGGGGCTCACGACTAAGGACGTGGTAGTAGATGTTATAACAATTGTAGTTGTCCCTGAGACTGTTTCCTCGTCCGTCAGAGTGGTTGATTGGGTTTCGACTCCCGTTGCCGTGGAAAATTGGGTGACAGTCCCTGTTACCGTCTCTATAATTGTCATGGTCGACATTCGAGTCGTGATCGATGTTGTGATTGATGTTGTCGTTTGGTCAATCGTTGTAATCACTGTTTCCTTAACTGTTACCGTCGCTGTTTCCGTTGCAGTAGTTGAAAATATTGTATGGACTGTAGAAGCTGTAATTGTCTGGGTGTCTGTTACAGTGACGGTTTGAATTGCTGTCGTCGTCGTCTCTTCCTCGTCTGTTGAGGTGTGAACGATAGTGACTGTTTCTGTATTATCTCTAGTCGTAAATGAGGTAACAGTTGGACCGAGTAAAGTCGTAGTAACAGTAATATCGGAAATCAAAGTTGTTGACGGCCCTGTGACAGTGACGGTCGTAGTTTCGACTTTAGAGACTGTAGCGGGAATCATTGTAGTGACAGTTTCCGTCCTATCCCTCGTCATCAACGAAATAACAGTTGAGCCGGGCAGAGTTGTGGTCACAATAAGATCAGAAGTCACTACTGTTGACGGTCCTGCGACTGAAATTGTGGTAGTTTCGATACTAGATATTGTAACAGGAACCGTTGTAGTGGCTAGGAAAGTCGTGAGGCTATTAACAGTCTCAGTTACAACGATAGTCTTAGCTGGTATTGCGAGAACTAAGGTTGTCTTGCCGGCGGTAATCGTAGGTTTCTCTGCTGGGAGAGTTATAGTAGGGCCTGGTAGTGTCAAAGTAGAACCGCCAGCCTTAATTACGGACCCCGGGATCACAAGAGTAGACCCGTCGACATTAAAAGTAGTTCCTGGCAAGGAGATCACAGTTGTGGGTAGTGTAAATACAGTCCCAAAGTCAGTGATTATGGATGATGGAAGAGTGATAGTGCCATCAGGAATAGTTAAAGTAGTACTTAATGCCGTCCGAAGGATTATTGTAGTCGCTGCTGCGGGAATAGTAACAGTTGAAATCAAATTTATAGTAGTGGCTGGAGCGGTGGCCGTGATTGTTGTCCGTATTCTTACGGTAGTTGCACCGACGGTGATGGTGGCAACTGTCCCTGGAGGAGTGATTGTCGATACCAAGGTTACGGTATCCGCTGGTTGAGTCTGTGTGACTTGCGGCTGTGTAACAGTGGAGGTGCTAATCGAGGAAATGGTAATTTCTGGTACTGTGGTAATGACGCCAGATCGTATAATGGTCGTAGTACTTGGCACATATCCCGGGAGCTTGATCGTAGACCCATCTTGGGTGATCCCACCAGCAGGAAACGTAACAACTGATCCTTTGAGTGTAACAGTAGAACCATCAGCCTTAACGGTTGATCCTAGCAAAATCGCGGCGTTTGACTTGATATTGAAAATTGTTGAGTCAGGTAAGGTTATCGTCGAGTCTTCGAGCGAGATGGTAGAGCCAGCATTGATGATTTTGTTTTGACCCAAAGTGACCGTATTGCCAGAAAAAGTGATTGGAACACCTGAAACTACTTTGGTGGTGGTTTTAGTCACGGTCCCTTGGTGCCAGGGTATGGTGAGAATATCCCCATTAATAGTGATCTTAGCTGTAGGGAGTGTAATCGTAGGATTAGGAAGGGTGATAGCGCGTTTTCCTGCTGTCAAGATTGTGTTTGGAAGGACAATAGCATTGGTCCCTACTGCTAGGAGCGTGCGTCCCTTGAGAGTAATGATCGATGCGGGAAGTGTAGTTTGTCTTCCTTTGTTGGTGATTGTTTTACAGGGTAGCGTTAGGATAGACGCAGATGGAGCGAAAGGGATCCCGACGATGGTTTTTGAGGAGGTGATCGTTTTCTTGAGGGTAAAAGTTTTCAGATATTTTGTTTCGTATTTCGTGACAATCTTAGTAGCTAATTTGGTATTTCGTCAGTCCGCAGACCCATTATATGAAAAGAGAGAGCAGTTTCCTTTACTGTGCGGTAAGAGATAATCGTACAGCCGCTTTTTTAGGTCTTTTCGGTATGCAGAGATATCTTCTGCGGCGACACAAGGTCCCGAAATTTGGACAACGGTAAGAAGTATCTGAAGAAATAAATATTGGAGCTTCATCATTCAAGATCCTTTTTTGATTTTAAGAAACTTAATGAGAATAGCAGTCGTGGGATATATATATTTAGAGCTCATAGTAGACAGCAACAATATGTTGAGATATATTTCAGTGTCCTTCTTACATATATCTAAGTATCCATATTGACTTCGTATTCTAGGTTGTTAGGCTTGTACTCCATCCTAAGCCTCGGCTCCCAGTGACCTAGTCTCGGAAAATAGGAAAGTTCCGGGGCTACTAGTATCCCGCTCATTCGCCTCCTTGTAATAATGGGCGGGGCGGATAACACCCCGTATCAAAAAGGGTACATAAATTTCGAAATAAGCAACAATATAGCCTCGAGACGCAACATTAGACTATTTTCGGGTTTCAAATCCGCGACGGAGCAGAGAAAACAAAAAAGGCTCCCGAATATTTGAATATGGTAGTTCGATGCTTTGCCGCATTTACCTATTCTCCTTCGTTCCTCGCATCATGGCAAAAATTCAAAAGGAAAGTTACTAGTTGTATGAGCATTAATCGGCCGCTATCAGGAGCCTTTTGCACAATATTGTTTGATAAGAGGCGCTAATCATAAATGTCGTACAAAAGTAGAAGAATTGAATTCCGCCTCCTGATGGATGCTATGGATTCGAGAAGTGCTAGTGCAAAGTAAACATTGAATAGAGGCGTACAATAGCGGGAATTGCCTGCATGAGAATTCAAATAGTGTTACAGACCGAAAAGCCGGACGCTGAAGTAATTAATTCACCTTATGGTTTTTTCGCCGAATATTTGTTTAAAAGGCTCTGGTCTGATCAAAATCACGTATGAACTGCTCTAGGATATAACCTTTTATTGCCCTCTTTTTCGATCATGTACAACAGCAAATTTCTGTTGGTGACAGAATAAATTGAGGCCTACGAGAAAGGAGAGCCTTCGCTTGTCAGCCGCAAGCTGCGTATGCGGCAGCAGCTAGAAAAGGATGGTTCTATCCGGTGGACCGGGAACATGTTGAACTTTAAATCTTGACATACTCGGTATAGCTTCGCAGTAAAGTTGTAGTTCGGTTAGTAATCACCGTGGTCGAAGAAACTATGATTAAGAGTCCAGAATCCAGATGTGCAAAGTAGAGGAGTGTGTTTGAGACGTGTTGTTAATGTTGTATTGTGGAAGCCCTCCGAGATCGTGTCGTGACTTCCTAGCGCTAGCTCGTCATCAGGCGTACGATAGCTCATCGCGCGTCACAGTCCCGTATTGCTACGAAATCTCACGACGACACGTAGTTCGGGGGTATTCCATACAGGTTTATGATTAATACAATTTGATATAGTTATCATATTGTCGTCAACCAAAATCTGAAAACCTACTTTTGCTATCACGTGACACGGGCCCAAAAACGGATTGGTCGAAGCCGCAACACAACCTTCCAGAACAGAATCAGGTGGCGATTTCAAAGTGCGACCGGCCAACCTTCAGCAATCCAGTTCGCGGTTGAATAGTGTAGCTGGTTATCACATCGGATTTTGATCCCGGCTCAATGTTATCATATGATATCGAGCTTCCGCGGAAAGTGTTCCGATAACTTGGGTTCGAATCCCAATTCGACCTTTTACTCGCAGCATGACTGGTAACTTCCGTCTCGTCTGGGGCCAAGAGCTCACATTTTTTCTCGCCAACCTGGTGTTAGTATCACCAAGCTGCTAAATTCAGAAGGCTGTGTCTGACAGCCATGCCAGTCTGTTATTATGAGTGTAACGATATCCAACCAAGCCCGGAGGACAGTTTGGATGTCTTTGGAAACAGAGCTGCATGATCTATTTGAAGGATTATAATTCGGTGCGGCTGCGAAACCATCGGCAACCACCTCTCTTGAGCTCTCCCGATTCAGCCTCTTCGGCATACGGAAAAAAAAAGTCAAAAAAGGGCTGCATTGAGGTACATATTCTAGAACAAGGCGTGGTCTTTCGACGAAACAATTCCGTTCTAACTTTTAAAAGAAGCGAGGTCGCTATTTTCTCCTTTTTAGATCGTGCGCGCAAGGTGGTATTTCAAATTTTCTTCTTTTTCTCTATTCTCCGACTGTCCTTAATTTATTCTTTTTTTTCTTTTCATTAGCATCTCTGTCCTTGCCTTTGGTCGCTTACATCTTTGACAGAAAACTAACTCAGCTCCACTCGATACCGCTCCTGCAGCACGCTGATGGGTTTCTCCTGCATCAAATCAGCTAGCACGCTTGTAGGCTGGTAGGGTGAGCAGGGTTGACACCATTTTTTCCCAGCCGGGAAATCTGAACGACTGGCGTGCTAGCTGCTGACCTTGGCCTCACGATCACGCTGCATTGCCCAAGAGTCGGCATATATTCCTTTGGCCGGTTTCGATCATTGTATTCTTCTCTTCTTTCTAAGCTGCGTCGAATTCTCTCTTTCAGCTGCTGCTGCTTAGACTTTCCGAAGTAGGTGTTTATATGGCTCCATATATCTCCTAGACGACCGACATTTTGTTCAGCGCTTTCCGCCTCCCACCGTTTCTTTTTTTCTACACTTTTAATCTTTACTAGCATTTATCAATCATCGTCGCATGCGAGCGTCTCTTTCGATTGTCGCAACCCTTTTTCACTAGCTCTTCAAGATGAATTGTGAGTCCCAATCCCTTATCATACGTGTTTTTTTGTTCATGCGGGTTTTTCGTTTCTTTCGTTCTCGTGCGCTCGAGCGATGGGGATGGCAAGCAAACAATTTTCGTTTGTTCGGGAACATACCGGCCGGACCATTCCTTGCCATCCCTTTGATGCCCTGCTGAACCAATCCCGAGGTTTCCATTGCAAACCGACTTCCCGATCCAAACATAGCGGGAGCGGTTCATTATCGAATAGCTCGGGTGCTCCTTCAAGCTAGAAGCTCCCTCGATAATAATCGCATGTCATAATCGAATAATTGCCTCATCGAATACCTCCGGTGCTAGCCTGCACCACATAATGGTTGATAACAACAATCAGCAGCGCCGCTTGAAAAAGGAAATCAAAACAAAGCAAGGAATTTAACTTTTGCTAACTAAAATGTAATTCTTTTCACTTCCTACAGGCCCTTCTCGTGTCGATGACACGACCGGTCACGATGAATATAATCAGCAGCCGAACCATCTCCCATCCGACCTTACCACCAATTCCGACCTTAATAACGTCGCGAATATGAATCATCGGAAGGATGCCAGTAGAGGAGGTATAAATACGTTCGACAAATCTGTTGGGAGTGATGGAGCGATGGAGTCTTCCGATGCAAACACTATTGGGATTACCACTGTTGGGGGTGGTGGGGAGGGGGTGGTTTCTGGCTCCATCTTGGGAGCCAGAGACGTTGATGAGAAGAATGGACTGCATGATGTGGTGGAGAATATTGATGGAGGAAGGGGCCAGAAGAAGGCTCCAGGGGAGAATGGATATAAAAGGGCAAAGAGAGTATTGTTCTTTGCTGCCAATGTTGGGAGGCGAGAGCCCCCTCCTGGTGGTAGCGCGCCTGGCGATTCTCTGTGGAGGAAGGCCCTTGGCGTTATATTCAAGTATGCCAAATTCATGGGACCAGGTTTCATGATTTCCGTTTCGTATATGGATCCAGGGAATTACGCCACTGATGTAAGACAAGCCTTTCTATTTCAACCGTTGAAACATCGCTAATATTCGCTCAAAGGTCGCTGCTGGTGCTGCATTTAAATATTCCCACCTCTTCGTCATTCTTCTGGCAAATGTCCTCGCTATCTTTCTTCAATCGCTCTGCGTAAAGCTGGGTAGTGTCACCGGCGTCGACCTTGCCGAAAACTGCAAGAGGAACTTTCCAAGATGGCTTTGCTGGGTTTTATACATATTCGCAGAGGGTGCCATCATCGCGACTGATATAGCCGAAGTTATCGGCTCTGCGATTGCTCTGAACGTCTTGCTCAAAGTACCTCTCGTCGCAGGCTGCGCCATCACAATCTTGGACACCTTTATCGTGCTCTTCTTCTACAACTCTGATGGGCCTGTCAGACGTATTCGCTTCTTCGAGGCGTTCGTTGCTCTCCTTGTCTTTGGTGTTATCATCTGCTTTGCTATCGAACTGACACACATCCAAGATACACCTGCTGCAGAAGTCTTGAAAGGCTACCTGCCTTCTAAAACCGTTGCCACAGGCCACGGCCTTTACCTTTCCTGCGGTATCCTAGGTGCTACAGTCATGCCCCATTCTCTATTCTTAGGAAGTGGGATAGTCCAAGCTCGCATGAAGGAATATGATAACTGGCACGCAAACGAAAGTTCTATCACCGTAGCCTCGGCAGACACCACCGTCACCGTGGAGAGGAAATATAAACCGACACTCGAGGCAATCAACGATACCATGCCGTACTGTATCGCGGACCTAGCGATCTCGTTGTTCACCTGCGCCTTGTTTGCCAATTCCGCCATCCTGATTGTTTCCGCTTCTACATTGTCCAACACGCCCGAGGCACAGGATGCAGATTTGTTCAGCATTTATGACCTCCTCGTCGCAAATCTTGGCAAAGCCGCTGGTGTGCTGTTTGCTGTCGCGCTCCTCTTCTCAGGCGAGTCTGCAGGTGTAGTTGTCACTCTCGCCGGTCAAATGATCTCTGAGGGATTTCTCAACTGGCGGATCAAGCCATGGCTTCGACGACTCATCACCCGTGCGCTTGCTATACTCCCGTCGATTGTTGTCGCCGGAGCTGTTGGTCGCAAAGGGCTAGCTGAGGTTTTAAACGCTAGTCAGGTCACCTTGAGCATTATACTACCATTCGTTACAGCCCCGCTTATATGGATGACATGCCGGGCGAAGTATATGCAGGTGGATAACCCGAACGGCGCATTGATCACGGATGAGGGTACGGCGGAGGGTGGCGTTGCGAGAAGGCAGAAGGCCGATTTGAGTAACAACTGGTTTACTTGTGGCTTCGCCATCGTCGTTTGGGGGTTCCTTGCAGGGTTGAACTTGTGAGTACCATCGTATCTTAGGCTGCTTTAACAGAGATAAAAAGACTAATTGATCCCGATAATTATATAGGTATTTGATCATCACTCTGGCGATGGGCACTAATGAGTAATTGTCTCGGGAACACCGAGCCCGTGGGACGACCTATCGATATCGGATACTATAAAGCTCCTTTTAACGTGAAGACGACGACTCATGAGGGAATATCTTTATATTAAATGCACGCTCTTTTACTTCAGAAAGCTTGTCTTGTATTGAATCTTAGGATTCTTTCCTTTTTTGCATTCTTTCCACAACCCCTGGACGAAAAGACGCGTCAATTTTCTTACTGTCATTCTTTTCTCCCACCTTTTTCTATTTATCTTTCGTTTAATTTTTAGTAGATGGGTAGGTGGCGCCATTATGATTTTATTTCTCTGTTTGCCTACAACTTCGGTCCTTGTCGTGGATGATGGTCACAATCTTTGTTTGCTTTATGCATGGTTATGCCACGTGTGCGGGGACCGATGAATCTCAGCACCCCTGTCATACCACGCCAAACTTATCACGGTAATCTTGAAAATTAATATATTTTCTGCCTTATAACATTGTTCCATAGCTCTTCCAATAAGGAGGAAGACTTGTGATGGGTTTCAGACCCTTTTATTAGCCCATGATCGTTCAAAACGTGATATTTGCGAGGAGAGGTTGCTTAACACACATTGGCGTGTATCTATCTATGAGGTAATGTTGTAATGTCGTCTCGAATGCGAACCCATAGTTATCAATGGCGATTGATCGGAATGTAACGTTCCAACATATTACGAAGGAAGCACCAACTGTATCTTGATGTTTGAAAGGTGCAACATTCAATTGATCTTGATGAGTAAGATTAGATAACAATTTCAGCCTCGGATTCGAATTTCGTAGGATACTAGTGAGCTAATATTTTAATCTTCACAGGATCTCGTCTTGTCACGACAGGATCCGGTTTTACTATTTTTGGAGTAAATACTGCCGGATATAACTTGCACATCACGCGGCCAATAATATTAATATTGGACAGTTACTTGTCCCGCGAAGCACGAAGACAGGTACCGTGTAGGATTAGTTTGCTGAATCGAGGATACGATTATAATAGAGTTATCCCTATCGATTAATTTATTGAGTGAGAGGGGCCGTAATGTTAGATAACATCGTAATGCGTATCTGATTTTCCCGTAGTAGATCGGTTCATATCTAGAGATGAAACTTATACTTTCCCAAAATTCCAACATTAAGATCTCGTAGCCACTGTTAAATTCTAGGAATCTTGAGAGGCGGTCAAGCTTTTTCTTGTTGAATGGGTCTTCATTTTAGGCAATATATAGAAGTTTAATCCTTAGAAAGCACTACGATGTGGTATTTGCATAGAGCTACAGACATTACACTAATATACGCTGCTGCACGGTCTTGTCATATAACTGCTTCGAAATTCATCATAATTGCCTAATTGAGCTGGTTTCCGCTCTTATAGATCGTGAATTATTTCTGTGTCAGGAACGGTCAATCCGTTTGCTATCTGGAAACTGATAATGTTGGAAACGTTAAAAGAAAGCTGTGCCAGGCTTTGTCAAAATAAGAATCTCATGCATAAGCGATACTTCGCGCCATGCA